TGAAGCGAAACCGGGGGGTGTCAGTCCGTTAGATATCGTTGCTAATTAAGCGAGCTGAATCGCATTAAGCGTTACCATAAATTCCAGCCCTCGGCCCGTTCGTTAAGCGACTAATCGTCGCTTAGGTTCGTTAAATAACCGTTCAAAATTTTCTAATAAATTAACCGAATAATTCATTTCGTTTATACCTAGTACTCTATAATATCTGTTGCTCTATTCCTCGTACGGTGAATAACAACAGGGTCCTCGAACCCTTACATGTTCCAATCCGATTTATCAGAGCTCCGAAAGCTTCTTATTCCCTGCTGGCTGATTCGGTTTCCTCTAAAAGTACAGGGAACACTCTCGAACGCTTGTTTACCGAGTCTCTTACGAATGTTCGCTAAGAGGATAATCCGAACGATCGTTCGGATAAATTGTTACCAGCTAGCCGTACGAGATCCACGGATACGCGTATCCTTCTTAACGGCCGGCATCGCTGCTATGGATGATGTACGACGATAATCTATCTGTATTAAACGTAACGCGAGTGAATTTTGACGCGGGTACAAATTCTAGCTACCTTTCAACGCCAGACAACCAGTCGCTGGGTTGTTCTATCGAATCCGAATGAAGATTACATCCAAGATTACATCGATGTATCTCGACATTACTGTATTTTGAATAGAATGCTTACGTAAAACACGGACGTGTTATCGAGACTCATTTATGGAACGGTGGACTGATAGCCGAGGCAATTAATTATGTAACCGATCCATGGGTGACATTACATAAGTGGTATTAATATCGGAAGCTTCGAAGTAAGGGGAGGTTTTAAAGGGCGACCAAAGGGTACCAAAGGGCGACACGCAGAGGCGAATTTTTACTCCAACGTCCTTCTACAAAATTAACATATTTTTCATGTTACAAGCAGCACGTTGACCGACCCCATCGTACCACATGTCAAAGGAATAATTCCTTTTCCAATTAGGTAATCAATACAAAGCAGGGTAGCTTGTCACGCGAGTGCTTTCTCAGCGATTAACGTTATCGTGCTGTCGAATGAAACACGGTCCGCGCTGCCCTCTTATAAGCCGTTCCCTATGCTTCCACTTTAATCTTTCTCGTTAATTCTAGACCACGTTTCCCATCGCGTTCGTGTACTTTCCGGCAGTCACGATGATGTCGAATCGACGTTTAAAGCATAATCTTAGACACCTGCGTGGCAGCCGCGTAATTGGAGAATTAATTAACCAGCCAAGGTACCGGAGGTGAAGAGCAAAGTTGTCCCTCCGGAGCGAACTACGAATTCCGCTTGCTATTCCAGCCGTGCGATCAATTCGGGGGCGGATTCGAGAGGATCGAGGCGAGATCTACGTACGTGACCGTTAAGGAACAACGAGGGAGGATTAAGTTATAAGGAAAAGTTATTCCGAGTTAATCGAAATATTTATCTTATTATTATTATTACCGATGTAAATGTCCTCTCTATTACTTGACGCAATATTAAATGTTATTTGGCTGATGGGACTGCATGCACCGATGGGTTAATCTCTAATTAATATTTCGAGCACGCTTCGCATCCCCCGAGCATAGGGATTTCAACCCGCCGCGCGTAAACCAACCGCACACAGCCTTCTCGTTATTGAATTCTTTTCCTCTCGACCGTGCTTCAAATTTTTTTCCAAGCTGAACCTCGTGTTTTCCACGAACGCTATTCAAATATCCGACGATGTTACGCCAGGAATTCGTGAAAATGAACTTTCACCTGATCGTGATTCTGGCGGAAAGAAAATTGCCTACTCGGAGAAGTTGTATCCTCTCTGTTGACCTTCCAATTAATTGTACTACACGCCACTGCTTTCACCCTTTAATCCTGATTCGTAGTGTCTTAGGAGCTTAGTAACTCGGCCCAACGTCCTCGAATCACCGTGTTTAACGTAATCACCCACTAGCTTGGAACCGTTGCGTTGTAACGTGGTTTTCACGTTAATTTCACGACCTCTCCGCCTCTAATGTCTCGTATCCCGGTTCACGCTTCCCTTCGTACACCCACACCCTCGAAATTCGACGACCGGAAGATGCACGGATCCACGGGATACCTTCGTGTTCTTCCATGGCTCTACTTAAGAACATTGCATTTTTTAAATCTTGAATTTCAAGAGTGTCTTGATTAACATTCTAGGTCAGACGTTTCCAAAATAAACGACCTAATTACCTGGAAAAATAGCCGGGAAAGAATAGCCGGTATTCAATGTGGACAAAAATCAGATTAGTTATGGTTGGATTTTCAGCTAATCATTATGGAAAATATTAAGAATTAAACAAAAATAATATTGTAACCGAGAACGTCGAAGGGAAGGTCGATTCGCGAATTTTCAAGAGGGATATTCGAAATCCTCTGCAAGTTTGCGCTTATTAATACGCTGGAAACCTAAATCCTGAAGTGTGCCACTCGAACACAGAGAATTTCAACCGTAACTCGAAGAGCGTTCGACAGCCACTCGACAAACTTTAGCTAATTCCTTGGCTCGATTTTCCGCAGGATAGCCGCTTGATCCTTGCTATTAACCGGATAATAAGGATCCGATTGGAAACGAGCGGTTCCGTTGGGAAATCGTGGAAAGTATGCGTTACGAGATTGTTACGAGAACTATATGTTCCACTTCTATTGGATTTTAATGGTATCAGGATCTAAACTGATCGAGTTTCAATAGCGAGAAAATTGAAATTTATATTCATGGCATTCAATTTAAAGCTCGAGGTCTGAAGAAAATTAACGCATACAATCCCTCGTCGATATTTTAAATACAAAAATAACTGATGACAAAATAGTGAAACTCTTGCGTTATTCAGAATATACGAAGTTTGATGAAATTTCCCGGCACAAAAGTGACTCTAACGACAAAAGTAAGGTTGTAAATTTAATCAATAGCTGTTCGAAACAAATCCGAAACGGTATCGATAGTGTACGCAGTAAAAGCCACTCGGCAGACCAAGAACCGACGGGATCGAGGATAATTGTTCGTAGTTTCGAGCAGTTTCAACAATTCATCGACCACCGAATCGATTCGTCCAGTTAACCAGATCCGGTTCATTCAATTTCAGCCTCCTCTTCTCCCGCCTCGATGCTTCTTTTATCATTTACCTGAAATATTCAGTGAGACGTCTCGAATTCGTTATAGAATTTCGTGAAGACGATCCGTGTCTCTTTATCGAACGAAACGCGAAATCGAGGATAACAGAAGAGGAAGGATCTTGGAAGTTGCAAGGACCGATGAATAATTCATTTTAAAACGCGACTGAATTCTCTCGAAAACTTTATTACGAGCAACCAGGTATTTGTAATTGATTTTCTTTCCATCGAAAAAATGGCGGTTGCTAAAAGAATCCAGATATAGTTAAGTTTAAACAACCTTTGGATACTTTCTATACAAGCTGAGCGTAATTGAAGTAACTCGAGAAGGAAACTTGGCTTCTTATGACTGGACGAGCTTAATTTTGAAATTGGAACTGTTCGGAAGTCTCGGGAAGAACAATACAGACCTCAGGAAGCTAGAACTCTGTTCGGAGTCTGGTAACAGAGCCTCTGGCTTACTGTTCCCTGATTTTGCTGCAAATAGACTATTTCTTGAAAATTACGTTCATTTTTATTGTTAGGAGATAGCAAGGATTCGTATAGATATATGGAATTTGAAAAAATTAATGAAGTTTTAAAGCTCACTAGGCCAAGTACCGTGAGATCTCACGAAATATTAATTGTACTATTTCCTAAGTTATTTATAGGAGTTCTAAAGTACCACAGAAGAAATATATAAGATCCTAAGTAAAATTGAGTCGAGCGTAGGAAGTTGAACGGATGCGAAAGAAGCGCGATGGAAAAAGGTATCGAACAAGAAGTTTCCTCTTTTGCTATTGAGAAAAAAAAAAAAAAAGTTCTAGAAACTTGGCAAGGAACGGGTGTGAACTTAATAAAGTTCCCAAGGATATTAGATTGCGGATAAGTTTCTTTCGCGCAGCGAGCAAAGAATCTCTAATTCGTTCGAGAACGTTCACCGACTTCCGGTTTATTTCGGTACCGGAATTACGAAATTCCGGGTATCCGTTCCGCGGGCCTTAATTAAACAACACTTTCCACTCAACTCTACCTCTCTTACCTTCTCGTATATCCATCGTTAATTATATTCTAATTACTCTAAAACGAATTTAAAACCCGGCAGTAAATCTGAAAATTAATATTAAATTTAACTTTCATACGCGAGTAAATTGAAATAATACGTAAGAAATAGAAATTTTGTTCTTGCATTCGAGTTTAATGATCGACTTTCCAATTTCATTTAATCATCGATGTTGAACGAGCGATAGCTACTTCAACGGTTCGTGTTACGCGGCAACTTCCGCGGGAAATTTCTTCGTAAACTTTCATCCGTTCCTCTGTTAATAATTCAATAGTCTTTGTTCCGTCGTTGCCGAAGAATTTTCCTTTATTTTCGTCCTTGGAATACTTCAGCTGCAATATAACTCTCTCGAGTTTCGCTCTTTTTCTTTTTAACTTCTTCATCAAAGCTTCTTCACGGATCCTTTCCATCCGTGCTTACCGCGCGAGAAGCGAATCGTAGGTGAAAAATTGATCAAAATATAAAACGTCGAGAGAAATTTTTATTTTCTAAAATTTAAACTTTCATTTTTCACTTCCACGATTCATCCAGCCCCGACGTTCGACACAACAATTGCTCCAGCGACGCGTTGCGAATGATATGATACGATACGTTATGCAAGCATTCTCGCGCACAATGTAAACGCCGAACGAGCAACGTGAAAATAACGCGATCGTCGATTGATCGTGTTTGAAACGGCGATTGGGAATCGATAATCGGATCCAGCCTCGGATAACAAGCTACTCGTGCGTGTACACGGATATGCGATCAACCCTTTACGTTCCACGATAATCGCAACATATGTGGATCAGCTAGACGGCTATTAATCCGATCAGATATGTATTATTCAATCATTTTTCTTACCTTATTGCAGGCTGGACGATGGGAACGATTATCTGAAACAGAAAAAAGATTATTCCTATCAGTATCATTTTAAGGATAAGGTAAAGGTACCAATAATTGTCCTGGTATCAGTAGTTTACCATTTATCAGGGAAACGCGAAAAATAAGGTTTTTAAAAGTAAAATTTTCAAAAATCGCGACTTTTCACCTAAAATCATTCTATTACTAGTCACGTTCGTAGAACTTCTTTTTCGTTTACCAGAGACTCTTTAGAATATTTGAATAAAAATTCTTGAGAAAAAAATCTGCATATATGTAGACTGGTTAAATATATCAAGTGAATACATCGCGCAGACGGGAATACAGGTTTATTCGATCGTTACTCGAATGGAAGTCCTGTTAGCGAGCATCCATTCCGATCCATCTACTTCAAATTCAGCGAGGCTCGCGAGTACACCGGTTTTCGCTTTGCGCGACGACGCGTCGAGCGTCGCGACGCCGCAGCAACAGTCGTCGCGAACAAGAGCAGCGTGTATTCGCTCGTTGGAAAACGAAAAATCGACTTCTCTCATTGTTCGAATGAATTTTTCTACGACCGGAAAGTGTGTTATTGTTCGCGTGAGTCAACGAAACGTTGAAAATCCTTTTTCAACAGACAATTTCCACCCATTTTCCTGATAATTATTCCTGAGGAATAACTAATTTAAAATTATATTTAATTTTAATAAATAATTGATATAAGCGGGGTTGCTTGTAATTAGTTACCGGAGCAAGAATCAATGCGAACGACAGAAACGTTATCAAGGAACGATCAGTGGGTAAAAAGGACGGGATTTGAACGCGTAGCTCGTTCCACAACGCAAGCTCGAAAACTCCATTACGTGAAATTTCCTTGAACGACGGACCAGCATCGGCAAAGTAACTCGGCCGTTGTTCCCGTTAATAATTATCGATCGTTCGTGTCAGAAGTTAAACGAGTAGCCGGCGAAGTTCCCTTTGTGAGCTGCACCCGTGCTCGGCCAATCGGATCAGCCCGATTGCACACCCCTTTCGTGCCACGATGAATATTTATTTGCTCGAACAACAGTTCGATTCACTCGCGCGTTATCTTCTTCCCTCGGCTCCAGAACGATTAATCCTACCCTCGCGATACCGCACGAGTTTCGCTAGGAATCTGCCACCGGGATATCTCTCGAATAACGAAATTTCATTTTTCCATCTTCCTTCTTCTTTTTTTTTTTTTTTTTTTTCTTCTCCCCCTAGCCCGTACGTGCCGTTTAACGAGCAAGGGAAATATTAATTTTCCGCCGGATGAAAGGCTCGCTTTGTGCAAGCGTTGAATAACAGAAACCGAGCTTCGGATAGATTCAGTTTTCTACCTCCGGTTTTTCGGACCGGACGAACGGATTTGAAATTGCAAACGAGTCAACGCAGAGAGCAACCTGCAATTTTCTACATTCTATTTTTTAATCTAAACGAAATTGAACGTTCCACAAATATTTGCCGACATCTGATACTTTCCGACGAATAAAAATTCAATACAATTGGAAGACAGATGATTTCCCACGGAATTCATTAGCGATAGCTGGCTTTTGGTGAGAAAGAAACGAACCAGGTTCGTTTGGTTGCTGGTTTAGAATCGTCAAACGTAACCGACTCTCACAGGAAGGTAATATCCACGGATGACCTGACGGCGAAGGATTCGCTTGATATCTGGACGAGGAAGAGAGAGAGAAATATTCGTGGTCGGTGCTTTGAAGGTTTGCAAGTCTATTACGATCAAGAACCGGCGAGCGGAAGGCAAACTCCCTAAGTTTCCGCTCGTATCTCGTTGTTCCCGCACGAAAAGTCCCTGACTCGATGCACCTGGCCCTTTCCACACCGCAGAATTGATCCTGCTACCAAATATCCACCAGAGTCCCTGCGTTATTAGTTGCTTCCGCGGGGACATCGATTTCTCTCCGGTGTATTTTCGGCGCAGCTAGCTACACCGGTATTGCGACTCGTTTATCACACCACTGCTCGCTTCACTTCACTTTGGCCCGGATTAAATTATTCCCTTTCTTTTGTATATTTCAGTAATATTTTTCTCCTTTACAAATGGCGCGAGCCCCGGGCACGATTCCGATAACTTGGGCCCCTTGATTTCACCATGGTTTCTGATAGTATTTTTTTGGAATTGTTTAGCATAAAAGAATCTAACGAAGCCTCGCGATAGAATCCTCTTATCGATCAACGAAAGCGTCGAAAGGAAGGGAAGAAAAATAAATCCTGAAGGTTCGAGCAAATCCATCGACATGGGTTCGTCTTCGGGCATACAATGGAATTCGTGCATTTTCAAAAACCTCCTTTTCTTCCCGTCGATTCCGTCAACATCGTTGACGTTGACTAACGAGCTCCCATCTATCCTCCAATTCAGAAGCAGTAGCAGAGATCCTGAATTCTGCCCCGAATTGTCTTCTTCCATTCACCTTAGACGGAGGAAGAAAAATAGGCGAGGATAACACGAGAATAACGTATGCTAATTCCTCTTTGGATCTCTGCCACGTAACGTGAAATCATCCCTTCTTCGGCTACGAATGCATCGTTACTTTCCTCATTGAATTTCTAATTCCACCTCTCTTCCATCCCATTCCATTCAAAGTTCGTTTGTTTACTTTAATAAAAATCCTGATCCGATATGAAAACGTGTTAATTTACTTTCTCGCCTTCGATGGGATCCTTTGTTCAGCTCGTTTCTTTCAGCTCGCCCTGCTGACACGATTTGAAAACTCGCCCGTCTACCTTGAGTGGAAAAGCGGCCGCGTCTCTGTTGATGAATTGATTTTCCTTCCGAAAGACGCGATAACAAGTACGAGATTGCAACAGCCACGTCGCTCCACCGCCTTGTTGCGAATATCGATAAACGACGTTGACGAGGAAACTAAGAGAGCGCCTCTAGCGATCAACTTTACCGAGCAACATTCCTCCTAATTTCCTCTTTCCGCGAACGCCTTGTCACACGTCACTTCTCAGATCGGATGAAATTCAAAAATTTTATCGTTATCACTCGAGACGGTTTACTTTCGAAATTTTTCTTTGATATATCACCCCGGTTTGATGTAATTACCGGCTCGGCTATCGTTCGATAATAAAAACTCGAAGGCTTGAAAAATTTCATACGATCTCGAATAATGTTCCGAAACGGAGGTTTTATTCTCGCCAACGAATTCAAACGATCCTCGTAAAAATCGAGCAAACGTCAATGCGGGGGCTTTTCCAATTCGGCAAATATTTGTTTATACGCCTGGATCCTCGGTGTAAACGAAAATATTGTATCTACCGGTGAAACCGATCGGAAAGCTCGACGAACGTTATCCATAAAAATGGAGAAACAAGGAGATTGTTGTTCCATCGTAGAAATATTTGATGGGAGTAATAAAAATTCGATGGAACAGAATGAAACGTCGTGCTTCTCGAAAATTGATCGTCTTCGGGAGCTGTCCACGGTAATCTCGCGCGCCCTGTTTCACTTTTTCGATGAATATCTTCTGCTCTATTTGCGTCGACGCGTTAAAATTCGAATTACTTTTTACCTGGAAGCGCGCTTTACGCGAAATGGAACTCGGTGTACCGAATATTCTACCGAACAATCGCGAGAAAGCCGGTTGTTTCGCTCGTGTGCATTCTTTCGGAGTCGCGGCGATGTAAGAGAGAAGCGTTATTAACGAAACGATCCAACGTCTGCCGTTTCCTTTCCTCGGAGACAAGGATCTTTCCGGGGTAAAAGTAGGTCGAACCTTCGAGCCGGAAAAGCATGGAAGATACGCTCGACGATCTTTCCTCGTCTTTCCTGACCGTCTGTGAAGGTGAATCATGACTCTTTCGGGATCGCGTCGATTTCATCCACCCTCTCCATGGTCCGTGAAAAAAGAAAAACGTTGGATAACCATCGTTCGATCTAAACTTATCGCGAAAACAACGTTTGCCTCTGTGAAAAGGATATTTTTGAAATTTTCTTCTCTCAATGCTGCATCATCAACCGTGTTTCTTTTGATTTCCCCGGTTCGCAATTCTGTCCGAACCGTGGAACATCGAAGGGGGATGTTAACGCGATCGCCAGGGCGTCCCAAACGTGGCAAAGTTTCTTTCGCAAAAAGCATCGCGACGCGACGGAGGATGCTCGTAAATCTTTCATCGTTCGCATGGAAACTCTGGAACGCAGCAACCCCTTCTCGATACCTCTTGGGGATGCAACGTGACCGCGATGGGTCCAGGGATTTCGGTCATCGATTCAATTCCGGAACGCAAATCGGATAGCCGTCAGGATTTGAAACAGAACCGCAAGTGCAGGTTTGCTTGCCCTCCCTCCCTCCCTCCCTCCATGTTCTTGTCAGCATGTTGACGTATCGCCATGGTGTAGGAAGCATGCCGGATATGCAAACGGCATTCGCGACGTGCATTTTCCAACGGACGTTCGTCGTTGGCTGAACGTGGAAACGGATTTCTCACCCGCCCCTTCTATTCTTCAGCTTCGAGAGGAGTGGGTTAAATAAATTGGAAAATTTTATTCGAAAAGTAAATTCTGAAATTCAGCGACCCCTGATAATAAGTTCGCGATACGGGACGTTTATGTCCCGGCAGTAAAGTTTCGCGGAATTTCCTCCGATACAGAAGCGAATAGTTGGCTGCTTTGAAATAGAACAGACTATACGAGACTCGTTGTCCAAAAGGAGGCGCGTTTCTCGTATTTCCACGGAGAGTTCCTTTCATACAATATTACTGGAGAGACTATGTTCCATTCGTCGTTGAAATACGATGGGACGAAAGTAATTCCTCTTTCATCCTGGTTTGTGCTCGAATAATTGAAAGGAATTGCCTTTCGAGAGAGGGGTGAAAAATAAAAGAGCGGTAATACTTTGAACGTGGCGTTCTTACGGCAACACACCCTGTTTGTCAAACATCCTAGCAGGCGGCTGAAATATCCGCAGATTTCCTAGGGGAATTCGTCCGGCAAACAACTTCGGCTTCCGTGGCTTCTTTAAAACAGCTTTCGCGACGAAAACTTCCCGGC